CCCAGAAAGAAAAGCCTCACCTTTTCTTTCTTTCTGAATGCCATAACAAATAATCTCAGCATGGGTAAAACAATGACTCTCAAAACTGCAAGGTGTGGTCAGAGGGCCTCATCACAAATTAATCAGGCAAGTTGTCTACCTCGAGCAGTCGTGACAAATACAAGCTTAAAAAGGTGTTTTACTTCCCACAAAGGTTAAGTCTCTCTTAAGTTGAGCTTGACTCCTGATGACTTCATGGACACATCCAAACAGGGGTTTTTTTGGTAGCAATACAGAAATGATTTTCTGTTTTTCCAGTTTCCTCATCCAGCAAACAAAGCTGGGATTCCCCTGTAGGTTCTATTTCTAGCAGGGCAAACTCTAGCAGGGCAAACAGCTCTAGCAGAGCTAAAGTCTGCGTAAGGGCTGCTAGAAAAAGGGGCAACCTGTAAATGGCACTGGTGTGTGCTAGCCATGAATCATGTTCCATCAGAGGCAGGTAGGAGCAACTACTGACATCCTAAGTTTCACTGAAAACTAAAGCCTTGATGTGCCTTAGAAAAGCTGATCACTTTTGCTACAGGCCTTTTCCTATTCAATCCAATACTACAAAGTATAACCATTCTTACCCAAGACCATATTCTTCCAGATACCTGATGGTTACTCTTTCACCCAGTGGTTAGTGTTATCTTTCACTGTGCATAAAAATATACATTTTCTGTCCTTGTGAAATACCAAAGCTATAACTGTAGATGTCTTGTGAAATTGTAGACTATGTCTCCTTCCTTATTTATCACCACACTTGACTTCCCATATAGCAATTAAGAATGGCAACCTTTGTACTTAGAGGGAAGTAGATAATTAAGAATCCCGTAAAATTAAAGGCCCAGAAGGCCAAATCCCGAGAGACCAGAAGCACAATGGGATGGTAGGGGAGTTGTCAAGAAAGCACCAAGGGAATTTTATTATGATCTGTATTTCCCATGCTACTCTTTAAAGTGTAAATCAGTGATAGACCAATGCATCTTTCTTCCAGGCCATAAAAGTACATAAGCCTTGTATTCAAGCAGACTACAGTAATCTTACCATGGCACTGTTTGTTCCCATTCTTGAGAATACAGGAGATAGGAAACACCATCCTACCTTTTAAAAAAAAGAATTCAATCTAGAGAGATAAGAATGCTACAAAAAAATCCTATGGTTCTTTCCAGAGCACCATATGCCAATTTGCAGTTTGCCTGATTATGGAAAAAAAGGATACATTCTCAGTTCCTTATCAGTTTTACAGTCAATACTGTAGAGGTCTTTTTTAAGCACAGGTCTAGCAGACATGTCCCACACTGCATGCAATTTAAGAATATGGAAACTGAGGACAGACATGTAATTAACATTCTTTGAACATGTATTCATAAGAAACAGAATCTCAATTGAAGGCAGAATTTCCCAACACTTATGAGGAAACTTTTAATGATGGGTCCCACTTATTTGCATGTTTGATGCTTGACAATTGGCATAAAACACACTGAGGCCCTTTTCTGGGTACAGCGGTTAGATCCGTGATTTAGGAAAAGTTAATTTTCATTGGGGCACTGTATTTATGGGATACCTTCTTCAGGCAGGCAAGTTGGCAACACTTTTATCACTTTGATGAGAGAGTAATACCATTTTCTTCTACAAGATTTAGTAGATATTGCAGCATTTCTACTGTTGACTTCAGATTTTGTGCAACTAGAACTCCCACAGAAAGAAGGCGGCAGCTGACTTTTGCCAGTTCCTCATCTGCCTTGCAACTTTCTATAATCCTGAAAAAGTACTCCAGACAGCTAGATCAGCCTCCAGTGGTAACATAAGGAATTTGGCAGCAACAACAAACTCCTGAACTTCCTCTGATGGAGAGACTGTCATGGGTATCCATGAACAGAAGACAACCCTCTGTAGAAGTACACGTCTGGACCCAGTCTGTGAATAGTTATTTTTTAAAATAAAGTTTTTACAGTATTTTAATTGAACTTTGCTTGTTTGCTTCTTTTTAAGACTCATCTATATTGATGTTTACTTTAGTTTATCAGAAATAGCTTGAATACATACTTTAGATGCCCAAAACATGTACTTCTCCATATTTTTGCAACAGCATTAAGGCTCCCCTGAGGAAACAAGTTACATAACTTAATAGGATTTATGTCTGAGTAAACACATAAAGGATTATAATAAGTTAAAATTTAATTTACTGAAAAAAAAGTAGGGTATACTTTTTGTTATGTTAAAACTAACCATGTCACTAGAAGGTACAGTATTTGAAATAAATGTTTTGGATGTTTGTATACACAAGGCAAAGCAGCACATCTACATTCAAATAAGTTTCTGACATGGGAAAATAAAGCTCTAAATCCATTTCTAGCCTTTAAAAAGGAGTGCATATCTGACAGCAAATATCTGGTTCCTGACCCATGTCATAATCTCCAAATAAATTCACATGTAGTATTTACAAAAATGACTGTTTTTCCTGCTTCATGGTAATTTTGTGCATATCGTGCTCTGGATGCTCCTAATTATTTATATTTATTTATTTATTTAT